AAATTAAAAATTTAACGTGAGTTCGGAAACCTGCAAGTAATTGTAGTAATTGTCGAACGATATCTGCTCATTCCCCATGTAATGGAAAGCGATTTCTTCGCAAAGTCTCGTCACTTCTGCGGAGTCGATAATTCCACTCAAATCCATGACCCCAGGGCACAGATCCTGCCAATTTAGGCTCAAATAATCCATGGCACTTTGACTGGAGAGAGAATCTAAAAAAAATGCAATTTAATTACCGTAGTTATACAGCTGAGAAATAAAATGTCATCATATATACCTCCGACGATTAATGAGCCCTCGTCCCTCGCATTACCAGCCAGCCAAGGGATTTGCAAAAAGCTGCCAGATGACAAAATCTGCTCTTTCGTTCCTTTGAAAATATCTCCATCGTTCTCCACCGGCACAAAAACGAATGGTAGCGAATATCGATTCTAAAATATAATAAATTTTTACAAATCAGTTTTCTCAACAACCGTGGAAACATTTGTCGCGCCTTTCAACGTTTGCATTTATATCACATGTTTTGAAGGCCCGCAAAAGTTTCGCTTTACAATACTTGATTTCCCGCATTTTTCTCATTTGAAACGCGTGTAACTGAAATAATAAGGTCAATAGAACTGAACTTTAAATCTCGTGTCAAACACGTGGTTTGGTGGCTCACATTTNTTTTAATGAGGAAAATCACAATGCATTTATATTTCGAGTTATTATATGAGTGTTGATTAAGATGAAATTTTAGTTAACCGAATTCAATTATTTATTGTAAAATAATCTATGTCTGGTATTATACGGCAATGATTGTTCTTCCACATTTGGGGGATGAAAACGGCTTTTTTTTAAAGTATCCTGTGTTTCTTTTTAGCATTGAACGTTTCATTCTTTCCAAATACTCAAAGAGGCAATATTTGAATGTTACGAATACTGCACAGTTTTTGTTTCATTCCTGAAATTTTTCAACTTTATAATAGAGTATATGTGGCAATGTATAAATATTTCGTTTCTATGCAAATCTCAAGGCTAAAAAAGCTTTTTACCAATTTATGTAGAGTATAAGATTCAAAGTATTTTAAGATGAATACTGTATTTATTTCCGGTCATTTGAGCCAATTTTATCCAGTAATTTCTGGTGCCTTTTAAATAAAAAAACTCCGTTATTTTTTTCGAATGTCACTCCTATTTAATGCTTTGAAAGGAGAAATTTCCGACTCACCCAAGGATCCTAGACGATAGTTGAAAGACACGAAGACAATTTCCTCCCTGTCGATAAAATACCAAGGGTCGACGTTTCCGTCGCCGAAAACGTAACCGCCTCCGTGGATGTAGAAATTTCCGACTCACCCAAGGATCCTAGACGATAGTTGAAAGACACGAAGACAATTTCCTCCCTGTCGATAAAATACCAAGGGTCGACGTTTCCGTCGCCGAAAACGTAACCGCCTCCGTGGATGTAAACCAGGACAGGAACTTTCTGATTGGGATTCAACTAACGAAACACACAAGCAAAACTCAATTGTTTCCGAGGGTCTATCCCTAGAAGAACCAAACTAAGTTAATAAAGCAAGACAAATGAGATTTACGTTGGATGTCCAGACATTGACGAGTAGACAGTCCTCCGCTGGGTTCACTGCTCCTCCGGCGCTGTAACAGGCATTTCCGTATTGCTGAGCATCCAACGGCTCGGTCCAAGGAGCAGGATCAACAAAATCCTTATTGATCGCCATTGTATTGCGAGATCATGGAAATAAATAATTAGCTTAATAATCATGCGAATTGATTCAATATATGAAGCGCAATAGGGGCATATTTCTCATTTTAGCGCGCGCGGAAATTTCATTTTAGCCATATTATTAAGGTTGATAGCCTTTTCAAAATAATTTGGTCTAATCGAAATTAAATCCTCTGACAAACTGCATTAAAACTCATATGATATCAATAAACTTCACCACCGTAGCACAATGATTGTAATTTAAAGGCGTAAAAAAGGAAATGAATGAGGATGATTAATCAGAAATTATCCGTAGATTTTCAAAAGCAGCATGAATATCCGTGGACGAATGAGTCTTTAAAACAGATTCCACAATTAAGCTTAATAAAGTTGAATCAAATTTTGGAACCCTGCTAATTGTATCATTATTTCCAGATTTTGATCTGAATTAAATAACAAAAAAATAGAGAGGAAGTATTCAAATGGTCTCTCATCAGCAAGTTCAAGGAGAATCGTGTGAAGATCTTCCTAATTTTTCGTGGGTTCATTTTGAAGGATTTTCATACAACCACTCAGGATGACGTTGTTCTTTTGTTGAATATTAATTCTTTTTGATCATTATTTTCGTATTATTCCCAGGATTCGATGGCCTGAATTCAGAACAGTAGGAAACGAACAATTCTGATGATCGTTGAATGCATATTTCCAATACAATTTCCATGAACACATTGAGTAATAAAAGAACGGACATTCATTCTGCTTCAATCTTTTGATTGCTCTGAAAATTAATAGATGATATATATAACGGTAGAAATAAATCATCAATGGCATCTCAAATCAAGTTTGTAAAAAAATATTACTTAGGCCTCTTTTTGCTCGCTTCTATGCGTACCATTCAAAAAAATTGTAGTAATTTTGAATGGGGTCACATTTTTAGAAGAAGTTCTTCATTATCATGCATTTTAGATTGTTTTTTAAATGAATGAATGAATGAACAGAGCACTTTATTTGCCGCTTTTCAGTGTTCACAAGGTTCAATCAAGATTTCCACAACCAAACCCCCACAACCAAACCCCCTTCCCAACCAGCCCAAATCCACTCAATGACATTTAATCACTTCAGAGATTAAATGAGATTAAATCATGTTTTTTTTTAAATGAATGCATTGAAGTACGATAGTGAAGGCTGCAGAATACTGTACTTGGCTTGCTGATGGTCAACTTTTTTTTTTTTTGCGAAGAGGGCTTCTCAGTATACTGTATAACAATAGGTCTGTTATAATTTTTAGTATTGCTTTTATTCAAAAAAATATTATAAATTGACTCATGGTTTAGCTATTCATATAATTTCACACAGTACCTCGAACCGACCAGCTTTGGAATAAGGAATGCCTCTGAAAGCCCAGAAATTTCTGCCACTCAAGAACGAAGTTCCTTCAACGCCGATAACTGGTCCATAACCCGGTACTTCCAGTTGTACTGGCGCTAATTTATTTTGTATTTTGAAAGCTTGCGACGGATTTTCAAAACCCGTTAAGCACAAAAACAAAACTAATGTATTCACAGGTTTCAAGAGCTGTGGTCCCATGATTGTGTTTGTGATGTTGATTCTTCAAAATAAGCGGGACCATTCGCGATTATTTTAGAAAGTTATCGTCGTAAGTGTTTCATGGGGAAAAACAGAAGAGAAGAGAACACACAGCGATATGAAATTCATCTAAACAAAACATGCTTTTATCGCTTCAAATACATGTAAAGGTACAACTGATGAGTTTCCACTAATAATGCGCGAAAGGTATCATCAGTTGTTCCTTTCAGAAAGATAACAGAATTTATATCTTTCCCTTCATTTATAATCGAATTTTTATTTCCCACACGTTGAACTTTCGAAAAATTAGTTTCAAGACCCGCAAGCTAATTCGATTCAATTTAATGTCAGTTTCCGTCGGTTTAAAACGCCGAAAAAGGGGCCTGGGAATTCTTGGATTCCCCGATAGATCCGAATTATATATCCGGGGGGTCCATCAGGAACGGATTTATTTTGGGACTCCGTCTTGGGATTTGTTGTCATTCGAAGAAACGAGAAAAAAGGCTGACTGCGGAGAGATAAGCTGAGAGTCGATTCCCCGAGGGACTCGTCAATCAATGGTGTCGACGCGCTGCGACGCGTGTCGACACCTGCTTCTTTTCGGCTCCAAAAGCGACAGCAACTTCTTNTCCGTCTTGGGATTTGTTGTCATTCGAAGAAACGAGAAAAAAGGCTGACTGCGGAGAGATAAGCTGAGAGTCGATTCCCCGAGGGACTCGTCAATCAATGGTGTCGACGCGCTGCGACGCGTGTCGACACCTGCTTCTTTTCGGCTCCAAAAGCGACAGCAACTTCTTTAAAAAAAAAAGAAGCCTCAGTGCCAACGGCAAAGCAACAACTGCATTTTCGGCAAAGTATCGTTTCCTTCAAGGGAACATTTGCGGATTTACATTTCGTAAAACTCATTCCGGAGAGGGAGCTTTTTTTTTCTTCTCGTGATTCATTCAGGCACAACTTTCAGGCTTTCGATCCTCTTACAACGAATTCGTTAAATAAAATTGATTGATCTCCTGAGACGATGTTTGTTACTTGGGATGCATTCTATGATGCAAAATTATTTCCTGAAATATGATGCCATAATTCGGGAAACGGCAATAATTTCTCTACGTTAACCAAGCTCAGACACACTCTTCACTTCATTTCAAGACACGAAAATCGTCAGAGAAAAGAAAAATAGAATACTTTGCACAAAAACTAGAGAATAACCCACGATAGGACTTCATCAAACATTTTTCAATGATGCCGGCATATGAATACAATTAAAACTTCTCTCTACTCATAGATATCACTGCTGATTGTTTTAATGTTATCTTGACAAAGTAGTAGTTGACAGTAGTCAAGAGAAATGCGGATTTGTTGCAAATATGACAGGGTTCTTTCTGTGAATAATTTTGGACACGGTATTGCTGGTTGTTTTTTATTAATTTTTTCATTTAAACGTTTTTATTTCTCTATATGCGCCTCTGTATTCTTCACTTTTATATACTGTATGTTGTTTTTTTTCAATCCATAAAAAGACGAAAATCAATCGTTCTTATTGTATAGTATTCTTGTATTGTATTCATTGTATTCTTGAATCTCGAGGCCTTTCTAGTATAATTTGCGCATAATGCAGCTTTTCTGTTTGAGTTTACCGTATTCATATTTTTTTTTCAATCATTTTTGTTGCTTCAATGTGCTAAAAAATTTATTCAGACAGATTTCAACCGAGTCAAAAATGAGTTTCCGTTTGTCGTTGGGCAACTGGGATTTTGTGGATGTTATAGAAGATGGAATCGGTAAAAATATTTTCAAATTTTCGAAAAAAAAGTTATAATCTTTAACTCACCCCAACGCTTCCAGCTTAATTTTATTTGAAGTCAATCGCTTTCGAACTCCACAAAATACGAGCACCTACTTGAAATGATTAAACGTGCGACTATATAAGAAAGCGACTACGTTTGAACTTTCGATCGCTATGCAAGAATTCAAAATTATATCCCTGGAAATTTTCCGGAGCTGGAGGACAAAGATATTCTCACAATTTTGTGAAAAAATGTTTGTCATAAGATTGATGGTGTTTTCGAATAAAGCCATACAATCGCTATGCAAGAATTCAAAATTATATCCCTGGAAATTTTCCGGTGCTGGAGGACAAAGATATTCTCACAATTTTGTGAAAAAATGTTTGTCATAAGATTGATGGTGTTTTCGAATAAAGCCATACGAATTACTTTGTACCACATGTGCGCACGTCAAGAAGGATGATTCATTGCCGTGTAGGTAAACCCGATTTTAAACGCAGTTTGTATCGAAACCGTGCAAGTATCGTGCAGATTTTGCCTTTTGCAATATTTTCGGGCTTTGCTAAAACATATACATGTAGAGTATACTCTAATGTGTACGTACCAAGTGTTTAAAATATCATAAACGAGTAAACTTTGCTTCTATCTTATTTTTGAGACGAATTGCTATTTCAGCAGATGAATTGTAGGTAAAACTACTTGCATACAAAACGTTGTCATGATTATCATGAACGGCGATGACTGGAAACACAACTATGTGAATATTTATTTTCCCTGAAGTATTTTTGATTTCTCAAATTACCGTGCGCACATTTCAAAAATAACCATTCTGCGTCTCGATTCCTAATTTTTTTCAATTGTGGATTTAGAAGCGTCTTTTTGGTACTCCTGATGTTTTAAAGCATTCAGTTCATTTCCATGTTACTAAATTTTGACCTTGGGGTACGCAAACTGTCATTCTCTTCCTTTGTAATTTTTTCTGTTTGTTTGTACGTAGTTGTCCTGATCAGAATTTCCCGTGAAAATCTGAGGAGCTTGTACTTAATTATACGATGTACTGTATCTTGAAAAAAAACTAAAATTTCGCTTAATATTCGGTGCAAATAGTGTTTCACATTCATGTCAGATTACATCCTTGACTTTCAGTTACTTCAGATTTTGGTGTATTAGTCCTGTTTTGGGTTTTATTTTCTCGCAATTTGAAATACAGTATTCCTTTGCTAGGGCCAATTCCCGGAATGCTATTTTTAAAATTAATTTATCTGGCACATCTCGGTTGATTTCTGTTCTGAATTCGAAACGTATATAGTATTCTCGGGTAACAAATGTGCGTTCTTCAAATTTGCTCTGATCTCTTCGCGATTCAAAATTAGATATAATTTCGTAACCTACGTCGAATAATTTTTGCTCCCCACAAATAACACGAATCATTCATGATACTGTACAGTTTATTCATAAGCGAAGGAAGATAGAGTTTTGATCTGATTACCGAAGGTTTTCGAGTCACCAAGTCCGACGCAGTCCCACAAAAGTGCACAGTATGTCCCATCAAGAACTTTGCATCTTTCTAGACGTATGCTGACAACTAGTTCCCTGGGGGATCCCGGGCAAAAAGCGATGATGCCCTATTTGTCTCTCCTTTTTT